TATTACCAAGATGTTAATATCCATTTCCAAAAAAAAAAGTCTCATAACATAGGAAATTTTTGATGGTGCCAATGTGCAAATAATGATTAAAATCAGATGCTGGCTGCCCTGAGCAACACTAGTATTTTTATCTTGTAGAACGTTAAAGGAAAGTCACTGCTGATTCTTCTATTGATTCTGGCTGAATGTGAAGAAATGTCAACAGCTCTAGTGTGGACGGCATCATCTGACAAAGGCATTGCTTCAATTTTCTTTCTCTGTTCTAAAACAAACTAGCTCAATGATTTCCAAGATTCTCAGTATCACCACGGTCTTGTCAATTGTACATGGCTTCTGTAGCTGAATGGTAAATAAGCAAATGCATAGGATGCTGCAAAATAAAGCTTTGTTTGTCAAATCTAGCTTCCAACCTTCCCAATTTAAGCTATATTCTTAATAAAAGAACCATATTTTTCCAATGGCTGCTAAGGCCTAACAGAGCTTCATACCTATATGTGGGGATGAATATAAATCAAGAGAAACTGAAGCTATAACATAGCTTCTGTTCACATTATAAAACTAAACTATGTGAAATTCAGTTGCCTATAATCATGATAGCAAGGCAAACCTCTAATTCTTAACAGAAATGTAACCCAGTTATCTACTATAACAGCATTAATGATTATATGTGACCTGACCATGCACACTAGCATCCCATGCCACTCTACTCTCATTTGGCATGAAATATACCTTAACATATTATGACAAATACAAAAACTATGTTGTTAAGTTGGCTTTTTTCCTATAAAGAAAAACACCACATATCTGGTTTAAAACTCTCTGATTTAGAGATATTTAGGAGTGGCATATAGTGACTCAAAATATATTTGCCCAGTTAACTGCATTCTGAATTCAAATAACTATTGATATATTTTATCTTTTAGAAGAATATCAGAATGGATTTGGAAGAAAATAAAAGCTCTTACTTGAAGTTATATATTCTCAATCCTCTGACTCTGTCCATTTTTCATTCATATACTGATTCTGAGCTAGATAAGTGGTTCTTAATCTTAACTACACATTACAATCACCTCAGAAAGCTCTTAAACACTAATGAGTGGACTCCACTCCAGAATGGGGTAGACCTGAACATTTTTTAATGCCCCAATGATTCTAATATTTAGCTAGAATTGAGAAGTACTGAGCCAAATAATCACAGAGACTGTTCTTCAAAAGCTTAAAGTCCAGTATATATTACTAGATACTAAGTATACAGATTAATGTACCCCTCAAAGCAAATAGAACACTTTAGTGTATCTTAACTACCTAACAGAAACATGCTTAAGGTGCTATAACACAGAAGAGATACATCCAATCTAGTAATGAAGGGGGAGGGGGAGGTAAAGAAGTATTAGAGTGAGATTTCTGAAGGAAGCGATAAATGGATAAGTAGGAATTAACCAGAGGAAAGGACAGTGGGGAGAAAATCCAGGCACCAAGCAGAGAGGATAACAGAAGCAAAAAGAGAGGTAGGAAACAAGGTTAACAGATTTGCTTACAGTCTGGTGTTCACATATTTAGGCATGAAATGAAGTACGAAACTGTGGTGGAGAAAGAGCATAGAGGTCCTTGCATGTCAGTGATGAGCTAAGCAGGCTGCATTTTGGATAAATCTCTGGTAGCCATGAGGAACAGAAATAATAGCTAACACGCAGTGTACTGCTGAGCACTTTGCATTATCTCATGTAATCCTCACACCACAACTCTGTGGTAGATATTAGTATCCTTATTTTACAGATGAGGAAACAGTAACTGTCCAAGTCACAGAGATAGAGAAGGGATTCAAAATAATTCTGATTCTTGAATCCTAAACCTTTAACCTTTAGAATGGATGGATTCGGAGGAATGGTTTGAGAAACAGCAAAATAAGCTAGTTAGGTAACTATTATGTTATCCCAAATGAGAGGCAATTAGTGCACTGGCAGTAGGGATGAAGAGATACTTGGTTTTAAAAGTTATCAAAATCACATGATTCAGCCTTAAAAGGGAATGAAATTCTGACACATGCTACAACATGAAAGAACCTTAAAAATATCATGCTAAGTAGAATAAGCCAGTCCTAAAAAAACAAATATGGTATGATTCCACTTATGAGGTACCTAGAATAGTCAAATTCAGAGATAGAAAGTAGAAGTTACCAGGGACTAAATGGAGGGCGGTAGGGAGAAAGTTATTGTTTAATGAGTACAGAATTTCAGTTTGAAATGAAAATGGTCTGGAGGTGACAGTGGTGAGGGTCGTACAACAATGTGAATGTCCTTAATGCCACTGAACTGTACACCTAAAAATAGTTAAAATGTTAAATTTTATTATATATATTTGCCACATTTAAAAAATAATTTTTAAAATCACATGATATAAGGAGAATAAAGGGAAAGAAGAGCCAAATGCTAACTGTAGTCTTTAGCTTGGGACACCAGGAGGGCAGTGGCACCATGCACTATCTCTGATGAGAAACAAAGAATTACTGTGACATTCCAGTAGAGCTGTCTAGAAGGCAAACAGACACAAAAATGAAGCCCAGAGGAGTAACAGGGTTGGAAGTGTAGTCAACAAACAGGTGGTTGTTAAAACCAAGATAATGCCTGAGACTACCCAGGGAAAACAAGGAGAGAAATGAGCTGAGGATAGACTCTTAGGAAACAGGAGGGGCAAAGAGGAGGAGCTCATGAAGATTAATGGATGCAGTAAGAAAGATAAATATTTAAAAGATAAGGCAGCAGAAATGACAATATTTGGAACTGGGGCAATGAAGATGGTTGGGGAGGGCATATAAAAGATAAAAAGAAATTAAAGAAGATATACTACCATACCCATTTCTCTGTTAATTCTATATTTGGAGTCCTAAGAAAGACATGAGTTTCTAGTTCCCTATGGCATTAAAAGATTAGAGAACAAAATTCTCACACTGAGAAAAAACTTAACATAGTCACCTACACTTTAAAATAGGAAAACATCAAAAATTGTCAGGAATATATTTTATGAAACAGTAAGAATGTTAAATTAACATAGAAACTTTAAGATCTCTGATAGTCTACACAGGAAAAGAAAACAATTATTGCTAATTGTAACTTGTTTTAAGCAATGAGAGCTTTTGAAAAGCTACTTATAAAAAAGATACAATTTTTTTGAAAATTATATCAGAATAAACTTTACTAGATTATGAACTATTGTATCCTAATTTTTTAATTTTATAAATACTTTTGAATATTTGAATTTTTGTTTTACCCATAGATCTACTTTAACACTAACAAGTTATATGAAAAGTTACTCAATATATCACATGTCCATAAAGCACAATAGCACTACTATACAGCTTCTTATGGTGCCAGAAGCTATTAAAAACTCTATATACATCTCTAATAATTCTAAAAATTATGAAGTTGATTTTATGCCAGGTTCACAGAAGATAATTTCAGAGAGAAATATTATATACCTTACTTATAAGTGGTAAATCTGGAATTTAAACCTATTTTGGCTCCAAAGCTTAAGTTCTCAACCACTATGCCCTAAACAATCCTTGATTAATCTCCCTTAACTAATCTATTTCTCCATATCAGAACAAAGTACAAGTTGACATCTAATAAGTAACAGTAGAATAGGTCCTTGAATTATCAGTTTTTGAATCATCAAAAATCTGCAAAGTTCAGAGGCCAGAAGAAAAATGCCTCCAAAAGTTTTAAGTGATGAAAACAAAATACTTATTTTAAATGTAGTTATTTTACCTCAAGACCAAATGTTTTATAATGTGAGTTTAGCCTATACTTCTTATATTTTATATATTATGTAGAAAATGAAAAGAATAACTCTAAAAACATTTTAATCTGAATATACTAAAACTAAACTAGAAATAGACTTACTAAAAGACTGAACGGGCTTCATCAAACACCTGAAATATTCTAATATAGGTTAAATAGTTTCTAATAGTCATTTTCTTTGTTGGCTATCCTTCACTGTATCCTATAGCATTTCCCTTCTACCTAGGAAAATGTTAAGGTAGCACTTAACTATCCATTGCTACAGATTTGTGCAGCAGTTCTAGAGGACCACTAAACCACCAGCTACAGACACAAACCATTAATTGTACATGTCACTAAAAATTGTCTAAATAGAGTTAGCTGTAAGACATATTTGTAAAAAGAAAAAATGAAATTTTTAATTTTACTATCCAAAATTCCCCATGAATCTTTCTGCCATCACTATTTCCTTGGAAATTAATAATTAAAATTTATTTTCAATATAGAAATTTAACTAGAAGCTATTTTTCAATGTTTGAATTCCAAAAGAAATTAACTAGTATTTTAGCAAACAAGGAGAAACAAGGTATCTACTAGAAGATAATTCCTCAGGTAGGAAAAATTTTTATATGGGAGTTTAGGAAAATTAAGTAGAGCAAGAAAAAAATACTTTGGACCTCTTTCGTATATTAAGTGTGACAATGAATTAACCTCAAAATATTCATTTATTAGGATGGATTCTCACAATGTAAGGGAGAGTTAAAATGGATTACCTTAAAACGAATGCATTTTCTTTAAAAAAAATTCTAATTCATTAATTAAAATTAAAAATTTAGTCTACAACCATGCCACCCTGAACGAGCCCAATCCCGGCTCATCTCGGAAGCTAAGCAGGGTTGGGCCTGGTTAGCACTTGGACGGGAGACCACCTAGGAAGACCAGATGCTGCAGGCATAAAAAATAAAAAAATAAGGGATTGTAAAATGACAAGGTCCTTATAATCTGTGAGGTCAACCAAGGGTTGCCTCGCTTAAAAAAAAAAAAAATTTAAAATGCTAACCATGAATACTTTATAACTGTTATAGTAAAAACAATCTTAAAAAATCTTGTAAAGGAAAAAACAAAACATACACTTCTGAGTAATCTTACACCTTAAAAAACTCAGGATGTCCATCATTGGCTACCGTTTATCCCCTAATACCATTAAATTAAACACAGAACTACCTTGTCCGAGACAGATAGGCTGCTTGGCTCCTCTATATGTCTTGGCTGCTTTACACAATCATATCCAAAAATCCTATTTTTAAGAACATGAAGCTGAACATCAGACATGTGCTGGTGCTGAGCCCCCTGAAGGCCTGGGGGCAGGGGCCCACCATGAAGATTTTGAGTCACATTAGCTGAAACACGGAGCAAAGGCTCCCCGTTAGCAACTGTTTGAGAGACTTGTGGAGGAAAAACAACTCCTGGAAGACTGATATACTGAGAGCCCTCTGGCTGACTCAGCAAAGCTTCAGACATTATTTTATGTTCATTTCCAGGAGTTACAAGTATATCACTGGTGGCATTTTCCAAAGGCTTCCTATCCATTGTCCCAGAATGAAGAATTGTGGGTTGTTGGAACACAGTTTCCATTCCCTGTGATTTTTCAGTAGTTGCTTGAAGAGAACATGGGTTCAATCGTGGAACACTGGTCTGTATTACTGAAGGTTGCCCAAGCTGTTGAAATACTTGAATTGGATGCTGAAGAATACTTGCTCTTCCAGAAGCCTGTGTCACCATAATTGGTACATTGACTTTATAAAGGTGACCTTTAAAAGGAGATATAAAAAAAAAAGTCAAAACTGTAAGAATAGAATCCTAATCTCCTTTAAAATAAAATCTCACTCACAACAGGTCGGGGAAGAAATATATCTATATGTTAATAGTGGTTATCTCCAGGAGTTTCTTTTATCCTTCAGAGTTTTTGTATTTTCTACAATAAATATATATTACTCAATTTCCAAAATTAAATGTCTTGCTTTGACTCTAGCCCTTTCTCAATATTGCTTATACAGCACACTTTGAGATACATACAAGCCACCAATATTTACTCCATGAACCTTTCCCATTGTTTGATAAATTGCGGTGTTACCAACCCGAGTAGGGATTTTAATTAACAATCATGGAGAATATATTTCATATATTTAAAATAAAAGATACCATATAACCATTATAAGTCTGCCCAAAAAGAATTTAATAATTTCAAAAGTTATCAAATTTCTCCCCTTTCCCTTAATATAAAACTAAAAAGAAGAAATTTATCTTTTGAGCACTAGGTGCTTTTCTTAAAATTTGCAACAACCAAAGGAATAGGTAGGAGTCTCTTTCAAATCAAGAAAAATTACTTTGAAAAGCAGAACGTGGATAATCTCCAAACATTTTGGATATTCTTTCTATTATGCCGTACACTATCCAAAAGAAAGGAGGCAAAAGTTGATCAATTTTATCTTTAGTTTTTGTTGATTAGAACTAGCAGGAACGCAGATATGTTATTTTGTAGTTGTCAAGACTTAGATAACTGACTTGAATTAGAGAAAACATATAAAGCATCTTATACAATGCTGGGAATGAAAAATTAGACAAGCCAAGTACAGTTATCTTTCATGGTAGATTGCCTTCATAACAATAACTGCCATTTATTATTACTTTTAAAGTAAGCTTTATTAAAAGTTCCTATAACTTCAATAACTTCTGATATAAAGTTTATTAAAAATTATGAAAATTAACATCAAGCAGTCAATACCAATGCTAAAAACATTTTTAGGCTATACTCTTACCAGATGCAGTCTGTAGTGTCACATCTGCAGGAACATGAATAGGATAACCAGGAAAAGTAAAGTTTGCACTGGAGTTTGAGGCACCCTACATGACAAATTTATATAAGAAAGTTAGAAAAAAGCTTTACTTATATTTTTCCCTTATCTCGTGGGAGGTCAAAAAATATTTCAGGACAGCAATTTGATAACACAACATTACACCTGAGTTCTTTGAATAAAACGGCTTTTTTATATTTTATTTAAATTATCTCATTAAGGATAAAAGGAATTTTGTTCTATGGCTATTAGCAACGAAGCCATTAAGTCTTAAACAATATGAACACTGACTCATAAAACTTGCCTGGGCCACTGATATGTCAAATATAAGAACCACAGCTGTTTATAGGAGATTTCTAGTTTGTATGTTGACCACGAATGGTATTTTAAAGTAGACAATATAATAGTGTATAATTTTTACTTTGGAATAATTAAAACTTAGGGTTTCAATTTTTTTTAAATACTAAATCAAAAGACAAAGAAACATTTGGCCTATCAGACCTGCAAAAATTTAAAAGATTAATAATACTCAATGTGGGTAAGGACATGATAAAAATCAATTCTCTCAGCCCACTGCTTATATGAGCATATATGTTACAATTCTTTTGGAGGGCAATTTTTCAATATATACCATGCATGATCTTCGACCCAGAAATACTACTTCTAGAAATTCATCCTGATTATCACACTAATACACAAAGACATATCTACAAATATAATCAATGGAATGTTATATTAGGAAAAAAAAACTAATAATAATTTAAATGTCCATCAATAAAAGATTGGTTAAACTCTGATACATCCACTAAGGCTAATCATTATTTAACTGGCACTGAAAAAGGTCCATTTATATTACTAAGTTGAAAAAAAAAAGAAATTACAGAAACAGTATAGAGAATCCTACTTTTACCCTGAAAATTAATATCACTTCCATGAAAGAAATCTAGATGTAGATATATCAAACAATGATAACAGTTATCTTTGGGGTATAATACTGCAAGGCTCTTTTACTTTCTACTTTATAAATTTGTTTGTTTTTACTTTTTAAAGGTACATTATTTCTTTAATCAGGACAAAAGGTATTTTCAAGAATTTCAAAGACAGATATTTCTTCATTGGTCTCCTATCAAAAGCAGTACCATTCTTCCCAAAAATCCTGGAAGGGGTGTGGAGGTGTGGTTGTTTGTTTTTAAGAAGAAATGGAAATAAGTAGACCCTTTTACCCTAGAAAGGTAACTCGAGCAGAAAGAACATGAAAAACAGTTAGTAGATTATATACCATTAGTGCCACAGAAGAAAGGTAAAAAAGTGCTATTTTTCTCCACCCAAAAACTACTCAATTTTCAATATGTAAGTTTTAATTTTACTTTCTGCCCCCCCAAAACCTAGGTGGGGAGAATCTATTCTTTAACCTTTCTTACACAAAAGTAAAAAATGACCAAAATATTCCATTTAAATCAAAATAACTATGATGTACCTCAACTCTGGGGGGAAAAAAATCAAGAAAAAAAACATGACATTGAAATAATAGGATCCAAATATATGACATTATACAGTGTATTAAAATGCCATACAATGTAACTTCAGAAATTTCCTAACGTTGGCAGTCTGGGCAGATGCTAACAACTGCACTGGAAGATAGGAAAAGCTTGTAAAGAAAATGTCAATTCTAGAACTCCTGAGTTTTTGCAACATCTATGTTACAGAAGCTATTCCTGTCTCCCCATCTTTTATCACATCTTTTCCTATTCAACTGGAAGATTAGGAATTATATCTACGCCCAGCCTTATGCCACCATTCACTAAAGGTGGGGCATGTTTTTGAAATATATCTTTAAAAAGCTACATACCAGTTCTGCTGTGGTAAAACTGGGAAGAGT